CCGACACCCGTGCACGGTCGGGGGTCCGGCGTTCCCAAACCGCCCTACCCCCTCCACCCTTTCCGTTCAAGGGTCCGACGGATTGGAAACGCCGGACCTCCGACACCCGTGCACGGTCGGGGGTCCGGCGTTCCCAAACCGCCCTACCCCATCCACCGTTTCCGCACGGGGGTCCGGCGGATTGGAAACGCCGGACCTCCGACACCCGTGCACGGTCGGGGGTCCGGGGTTCCCAAACCGCCCTACCCCCTCCACCCTTTCTGTACGGGGGTCCGGCGGATTGGAAACGTCGGACCTCCGACACCCGTGCACGGTCGGGGGTCTGGCGTTCCCAAACCGCCCTACACCCTCCACCCTTTCCGCACGGGGGTCCGGCGGATTGGAAACGCCGGACCTTCGACACCCGTGCACGGTCGGGGGTCCGGCGTTCCCAAACCGCCCTGCCCCCTCCACCCTTTCCGCACGGGGGTCCGGCGGATTGGAAACACCGGACCTCCGACACCCGTGCACGGTCGGGGGTCCGGCGTTCCCAAACCGCCCTGCCCCCTCCACCCTTTCCGTACGGGGGTCCGACGGATTGGAAACGCCGGACCCCTGACACCCGTGCTCGGTCGGGGGTCGGGCGTTCTCGAAACGCCCTGCCCCCGCCATCCTTCCTGGGTGGGGAGGGGGGGTGCATCGGAATGGAAACCCTCGATGTCCTGCCTTGAAAGGATGGCGACAGTCCGGCGGATTGGGAAAGCCGGACCCCTCGACCATGCATGGTTGTCTGGTATGCAACGTTCCTGAAAAGATCGCGGGCGTATGGCAGGTCACGTGCCTTCTTGAATGTCTTGGACCACATGCAAGTGTTTCCCTGTGGTGCTCATTGCTGTTCTCCTGCCCGTCTTTGTTTTGCATTTGCCACCGGCAGGTAAATCTGGTGCGCCGACCTCTGCTCAAAATAAACGGTACGGCAGGTCTAAGACTTACAACAACAAACCGTGGGCTCTTGACTGGGTAGGCGGTTTGCATAAACCGGGAAGTGGGGCTGTTATCTTCTTGAGCGATGACAATGGCGCCACTTGGTACTGTTGTGGGGGTGTGGAGAAATCCGAGGCGGGCAGGAAGACCTATGAAGGGAGGACGTTTAGGACCTTCTTCCTTACGTCCGTCTTCGACAGCGCTGGGACGGACTGGGTCAAGGAAGACAAGAAGGTATCCCTTGACCTGCGTCTCTTCCAAGGATACGGCGTCAAGGTTTTCTCCATGAAAGCGTTTGACGTGCGTGCTGATGGAACTGAATTCCGAATTCTTTCTCCAGAAGAATTTCTCAGCAAAACAAATGCGAACCGCGTCACTGGCTGCCTTCCTGTTGTCGACAGTTCTTTCCGGATGAGCAAACCTTTGGTCCAATTCAACAGTCCGATGGACCTGCTGCCAGGTGTGGTTAAGCGGTACAGGGGAGACTTCTCGAAGCTGCCGCCTGATCAGCAAACGGACTGTGTTTTTTTGCCCTTCGAGGCGGGTTCCAAGAGCAGCCGACAAACGCCGTCCGCGACGACAGGGAAGACAAAGCAGTTGCCGGGTGCGCCGTCGGGCGCGAATCTTCCCTCGCCCTCCGTGAGGGGAGGTCGTGATATTGCTCAAGGTTCAAGCGAGGCAATGGAGTTTGATGACAGGCTTCTGCACCAGCGGAATGTTGGCCGTGTGAATTCCCAGGGCAGTGCAATTGCCCTGGACGAGGACAACGACGAGGACGAGGAAGGAGGAAGTGCTGGGCCGCATGACGACGGCGGTAATGAAGCAGATGTGGAAGTTGGGGATGACAACATGGAGGACCAAGGCGGGCTTGCTGACGAGGACGCCGACACGCCAATGCATGGTCATGACATCTCCCCCGCCGGCGCTGTGGGAGCCGCTATTGGTCAGTCCTCGACGTCCCGTGGAATTTCGCTATCGCAAAGCAGGAGTAAGGGTGGGCACGACTCACATGCAATGCAAGGACCGAAGGCGAGGAAAAGAACAAGGGAGACTTCTCCATCTGCTTCTACTCACAAGAGGCAAGCCAGGACTGACGCTATTAATGAGGCTCGTGGAGCTTTGACAGCGTCCCAAGAGGTGCGGCCTCCTCGGAAGAATAGTCAAGGGGGGCGATCTGGGGGTCAAGGCGGTGACCGTGGGGGCGGTGGCCGTGGAGGGGCGCGGAAAGGCTCCCAGAGGGTGAGACCACAAGAGCTGTGGGACTCGGGGGATGAGGGCGAGGGAGTGGATCCTCGCATGCCCGAAGATGCTGATGAGCCGGTTCAGCGCGTCGCGCCCATTGACACTACGCGTTGTTTCTTCCTCGAATACGACGACCAAGGCTTTGCTACGCAAGACGTCCATGCTCTTCACGTGGACGTCATGAGAATCAAACG